TTCCTGTTCGTATGGTAGGCTTTGTTAATGTGTTTCTGTGTCTACTGTAGTTGATAGCTTGTAGAATTGCTTATACCCTCTAATAAAGTGGTGGCTGAGAGCTCTCTGGTGTATACTCTTCCGATGGAGACTCCTATGTCCCTTCTCTCCATTTGAAAAACTCCACATTCAATCACCCAGACTAAGGCTGTGTGGTCACCTAAACTCTGAGTACTCATGAACAGTCCTCATGCTAAAAGCAACAGTCAAGAACTGGACAAGATAATAATCATAGAAGCCTTCAGACAAGTGTCATGAGGAGAATCCCTGTTGACTCAGTTCTATAAACGTCACGAAGGCGTCTGATAATTCAGTTTATCAGACTTTACTGGACTTGGTGGGAAGCAAGTAACAAACATTATCATTGGATCTTGACCAAATGTCTCTAATTCAGAGACTGTTATCTCTAGGTTTCAGGAAAGAAAACCGGGAATTGGGAAGAATAAGCAATCTGCTCAAGATCATGGATCTGTGCTGTGGGAAAAATGAGCTTTGAACTCTTATTTTTTTTCCGCCACGGTATAGAAGAGTCTAAGGAGCAGAGAGACAGAAGTGTGGGATGGAAAAGCGGGAAAAAGCAAAGGGGAAAAAGAGCCCATTACTTGAACTGGTGATTTTTTTTTTTTTTTTTTTTTTTACTGGATGCAGGGAAGAATTTGGGATGACTGGAAGATCCTTTGCGTGCATTTGAAAATAAGATGGGATCTTCTCCCAGAGCTGAAAGTGCAGGCACCACAGCATGCTGCCTGAATAGTTGTGCAAGACCTCTGGGGCTAGAACAAGACAGGATGACGGCCAAAACACAGTCTGCAGGCTTGGAAAGTAGCTATTATGGGCTACGAAACCTGCACTTTGAAAGCCTGACTGTTTTTATGTCTCCTGTCTTTTCTTTGCTGTTTTCTCTTTATTCTCTCTCTCTTGGAGTTTGTTAAAGATCTTTAGAAAAATTCTAACCTGTCTCCTCCAGTCTAAAGGAAATTGTTGAAGAAGATGTCTGCCTATCTTTAGCTTCTTGTTTAAAACAAATGCAGTGTTGGAATATACTTAGTAAAATATCTCATAGATTCCAAACTAAAATGTGATAGTTGATTTTTGCAGGCAAAAAAGAAAGTTAAAAAAGAAGAAGAAAGAAAAATGAAACTAACAAATATTCTTTCTATCCTAGGAGATCTTTGTTAATGTGATATCCTACCAGGATCATATACAAACAAGTGTAAATGTACCTGGTTATGTAGCTCAAGACTGACCATGTGGAGTGAGTCAGGTTGTATGTGTTTTCATAGCTACTTTTTCATAAATATAATTCTAAAATTTTGATGGCTGTAGAGGGGTACATCTCATAAGAACTTTTGCATAGCAAATGCAGCATCCTTCTAATCCTGACCTTTTAAGTTACATGGCAAGAAAAGTGGACACATTTCTGCATGAATTCTTTTATAGTCTACATTAGTTATTATAATTTTCTCAGAACATCCTGGGGGCCTCATTATTATAATATTTAGGGGACACAGTTCTCTGAAACGTTTTTATTTTGTGCAATACTTTCAGTATTATCCTTATTCCATTGATAGTGGCAAATTAACAAGTCTCATTATTTGCCTTGTTTAGGCAGTGATTAACACATAATTAACATGGTAAGAGTTGAAGAAAATTGTCAAAGACTGTCGAAAACTGTAGTAACTGCTAATAGTCACCAACTGTTCATAATGCATTTGGCTTAATTTGTAGGAGATACTGGTTCGCAGCAGCACTTGTCAATGCGAAGTTTTTCTAACAGTAATGATCCTCCTGCTTAAAGACCTGCAGTTGATCTCCACCTGAGGTCAGAAAGGATTTCTCCCTGTTCTTGGTTCTTTTCTTATGATTAGTTTCATCTTGGGGGTTTTGTGCTTTCCTCTGGAACATCTGGTACCAGCCATTGTCACATGCAGGGCTCCTGACTCAATGGACCATTAGTTTCTGTGCAGAAAGATGTGTGGATTTAAAAAAGGCACTCAAGAGTATTTGTAATCGAGACCATGTGCTACCAGTTGGAGAGAGGGGAGAAATCAGTTTCGTTTGGATCATTGCAATTCCCCACATGGAAACAACTGTCCTAACATAAACCAAGCTCAGTCTGGACCTGTGTGGTTAAGGCCATCAGGGATCTCTACCAGGCTCCCCTGAAGTGGACACTGATAGGCAAGTGTCCATGGATGGGCAAGTCAGGATTCCCTACACCTGAACTGCTTCCCACACAGTGTGGCCTCAGATTCCACCAACAGCAGAGAAAGCAGCTGCTGCTTGATGCAATCCTAGCAGTGCCCAGAAATGTTCTCTGGCCCCACATAATTTCTCTTTCTTACCTTCAGCAACCCATTCCCACTGTCAACTTATTTTCCAGTTTCTATAGCCCTTTGCTTATGCATTAAGACAGCCAAACCTTAGAGAAAAATCACTTTCTAACTTGAGGATGATGATTCACACTGAGTATAATTAGTCTGTGCGATTTCTTGTGAAATGGCTGGTGGTGTACGTGGAACAGGGTTTACAAATTAGCTGGGGCTGCACGGCGTTTGGAAGGGAGAGAGGAAGTGGAGGAGGTGGTGGCGGTAGAGGTTCCTTCATCCCAGGGAACAGGGGTGGCTGCCACTGAGCTGAGAGCCTGTGGGTCCTAAGAACTTTGGGGTGTATGGTCAGGGCGGTCGTGGCTCCTCAAGAGCAATCCGGCCAAGTTTACCATCAATTTTTCTGTGCTAATTTGCTGTTTTCCTGATTCCCAACCCCTCTTCTTGCCCACCCTTATTCGTTCCTCATCACACCTCTGTGTCATAACAGATCCCAGTGACCCAAATTGATTTGCTTCATGCCCAGCTTTCCAGAGCTCTGTCGGTCTCAAAGAGACCATGTCCTTTCTCCTTTGGTACTCTCAGTGCCCTTGATAGTAACTGGCATGAATTTGGAGCTTAGTAAAAGACCTTTGAGAAACAGGAAGCATTTTTTAAAGCACTGTGCTGGTTTAGTACTTACAACATTGGCTCTGCCTATGCACAGATTCTGAACAGGTAGAGCACAGGTGTGCTGCGATGTTGCATGTGTTTGGTAAGGGAATAGGAATCATGGGATTTCAGGTGCACACCACAGAGATCCCTGAAAACTGCTGACTGCCTTATGACAAAACATGTAATAATAGAACAGTGAAGATGAAAGGAAGTGTTTGTTTTTTCTCCTTTCCATGGACCCATTGCTCAACATGCCTGTGTCGTACTTGATAATATCCACTAAATACATGACACAAGCAGGCACCGCGGATCCTCACCCTGGGGTCAGCACTGAACAAAGCAAGGTGCACCCCTCCTCACGCTTCCTTTCCAGCAGAGGATACACAGCCGTGTTACTAAGATTTTGTCTCCTATATGGCAGTGCAGGTTGTGGAGGAAACTGGGCAGGGAGGAGAACAGGAACCACAGGACTCCAGAGCAGAGGCAGAGATTGGTATGTAATCCAGGGATGTAAGTAGCATGTGCCTGTCATACACCTGTGTCAGCTGCATCTGCGTCCTGAGTGGCATTGTCAACCATGCCTCTGAAATGGCATCTTGAATGGTCTGTAAGTCTTGTGTTCATACACGTGAACTCAGAGAAATGGAATCAAAAGTTAAGTTTATTGTGAATTTTTAAATATACAATTTTTAAATAACAATGGCTTCCCATGAACATTTTTAAATAGGACTTGAGATCTAATATTTTAAAAAATATTTATCTATTTATTTGAATGGCAGAGTTACAGAGAGAGGAACTTAAAAGATGCTGGCATTTCCTGCCCTCCCTTATCCAGTACACACAGTGACCAAGCAGTAACAAGAAAAGCTCCCTTTTGCTGAAGAGACGCCTTTCTGTGGCAGTTTTGCTCAGAAGACAGTGGGAAGGTGTCCCTCTGGGTGTGGGGAGTTCTCCACTAGAGTGGCTCCTGATATCTGAAACGACTGCCTTTCTGCCCACCACAGTCTCTGTGCGCACGTCCCCGCCTTGCTGCCCACCACAGTCTCCGTGTGCTTGTCCCCGCACATCGTCAGTGACATGGGATAGGTGTGTGGCCACCCGTTGGGGGCTGGGACTTTGCAGGCTGTTCCCTGACTGTGGAGGCTTGAGTGAGGCTAATTTCTGAGACTGACCAAATTGTCGCAGGATTTTAAAAAATGAGTCTTGCAGTTTCTTTGGTGTCAAAATGCTCACAAATTCTTTTTATTCTTCTGATGTGCTTGGTTCCCCTCAGCATTACTGTCAATAAGCACAAAGCAGACAGAGCATGTCCTTTTCCTGACATATTTTGAGGTCTGCTTTGTTAATTGCTTTTCTCATCACCTGCTTCTCTCACTCTGCACGTATGTAGCAGGAACCCACCTGGGCCAAGCTGAACACATGGGGTAGGATATCTCTTTAGGCAATCTTGGCTAATAAACTGGAAACTGAAAGGTTTTACAGAGGGCGTCCCTCCCACTTAATTTTCCTTTTCTGCATAGGACTCATAAAATATTCTTTTTCCTGAGCTTAAATGCCCCAATTTTATGGAAATTTTATTTTATCTGTACTCCCAAAACAGTCACATCTCATATCCTCCCTATATAACATCACAGTAAACACTGCTGATAAAAACCAGCGTGTGCTGACAATGCATTGTCTGGCCCCTTCCCTCGGAGCTGAGCTATTGGTAGACAACCCATGCTCTCCATCTTCCCCACTGATACCATGTTATGACTGCTCCTCACTGGTCTGGGAACAAGTATTTTCCCAGATGAATGATTTTCAAATATTCTTCCCAGTCTGTGGCTTTGTTTTTTCATTTTTCTGAATGTATTACCTAGAATAGGGGTTCATTTATTTTGAAATTTAAAACTATCTTTTCTTGATATTTTTATTTATTTATTTTTATTTTTTAAAAGATTTATTTATTTATTTGAACATCAGAGTTACACAGAGAGAGGAGAGGCAGAGAGAGAGAGAGAGAAAAAGCATGCAAGAGAGAGGTCTTCCATCTGCTGGTTCACTCCCCAGTTGGCCACAGAGGATGGAGCTGCACTGATCCGAAGCGAGGAGCCTCCTCCAGGTCTCCCACATGGATGCAGGAGCCCAAGAACTTCGGCCATCCTCTACTGCTATCCCAGGCCACAGCAGAGGGCTGGATTGGAAGAGGAGCAGCCGGGACTAGAACTGACGCCTATATGGGATGCTGGCGCTTCAGGCCAGGGCATTAACCTGCTGCGCCACAGCGCCAGCCCCGATTTTTTTTTTTTTTTTTACAATGGGAAAAAATAACGTTTCATATGTACAGTTTTTTAAAATATTTATTTATTTTCTTGAAAATCACACTTACACAGAAAGAGAAGGAGAGGCAGAGAGAGAGAGAGAGAGAGGTCTTCCTTATGCTGGTTCACTTCCCATTTGGCTGCAATGGCCAGAGCTGTGCTGATCCAAAGCCAGGGACCAGGAGCTTCTTCCAGGTCTCCCACACAGGTGCAGGGGCCCAAGGATTTGGGCCATCTTCTACTCCCTTCCCAGGCCATAACAGAGAACTGGATTGTAAGTAGAACAGCCGGGACTTGAACCAGCGGCCATATGGGGAACCGGTACTCCACAGCCCCAGCCCCCATATGTACAGTTTTAAGAGTATAATGGTCATTCCCACCAAACCCTCTTTTGCTGGCTCCTACTCTCCCTTCTCCTAACTTCCTTATTTTTATTTTATTTTTTTGCAATGACATACTTCCAATTTACTTTACAGTCACAAGATTAACCTTCCACCAAATAAAAAAAAAATTCAACAAATAGTAAGTAGAAAAACTACTGTTTCTCAGGAGTATAGACAGGGATATAAATAAAAGCTTATCAAATCTCAAAGTGTCAATTTGATTTTTATACATTTCATTTTTTGGTACTCTTTATATTAGTTATGATAAACCAGGGAAAACTTGATATTAGTCTCTTGTGGGCTGAGTTGTTTCACTAAGCATAATGGTCTCCAACTGCATCCATTTTGTTTCAGAAGAAATTTTTCTTTCCTATGGCTGAGTAGTATCATTTCGTGTATATATACCACATGTTCCTTATCCAATCATCAGTTGATGGACAACTGGGGTGATTCCATTTCTTAGCTATGGTGAGTTGATCTGCTGTAATCAAGGAGATATGGATTACTCTTTCATATGCTGATCCCATTTCCTTTGGGTAATTTCCAGGAGCGAAATGGCTGGGTCATATGTCAGATCTATTTTCAGATTTCTGAGGAATCTCCTTACTGTCTTCCACAAACTGTAGTAGTTTATATTCCCACCAACAGTGTATTAGGGTACCTTTTTTTCACACATCCTATCAAGCGTTTGTTATTTTTGATTTTTGGGTGGTAGCCATTCTCACTGTGGTGAAGTGAAACCTCATTATGGTTTTTATTTGCATTTCAATGATGGCTAGTGAATCAGAATTTTTCATAGGTCTGTTGGTCACTAGTATTTCATACTCTGAAAAATGCCAGTTCATATACTCAGCCCATTTCTTGATTAGTTTGCTTATTTTGTTGTGGTTGAGTTTCTTGAAATTTTATTCATTCTGGATATTAACCCTTTATCAGCTATAAAGTTTGCAAATAAAGGAAGAAAACCAGAGCAATGTCTTCGATGAACAGATGTAAAAATCCTCAAAAGACCGGCACCGTGGCTCACTTGGTTAATCCTCTGCCTTGTGGCACTGGCATCCCATATGGGTGTCTGTTCTAGTCCTGTTTGCTCCTCTTCCAGTCTAGCTCTCTGCTGTGGCCCTGGAGGGCAACGGAGGATGGCTCAAGTGCTTGGGCCCCTGCACCCGCATGGGAGACCAGGAAGAAGCACCTGGCTCCTGGCTTCAGATCGGCACAGCGCAAGTCGTAGTGGCCATTTTGGGAGTGAACCAACGGAAGGAAGACCTCTTTCTCTCTGTCTCTCTCTCTCACTGTCTATAACTCTACTTATCAAATAAAAAAAATCCTCAAAAAAACATTAGCTATTCAAATCCATCAACACACCAAAAAGATAATTCATCTGGACCAAGTGGAATCTATCCCTGATATACAGGGATGCTTCAACATATGCAAATCAAACAGAATACAGCATATTTACAAACTGAAGAATAAAAAACATATGATTATCTCAATAGATGCAGAGAGGCATTTGATAAAATACAAAATACTTTCATGATTAAAAACCTTGAGTAAAGTAAGTATAGAAGGAACCTAACTTTATATGACAAACTCACTCTCAGCATTATATTGACTGGGGAAAAGCTGGAACCAGACAAATACTATTGCCACCATTACTATTCAATATGATTCTGGAAGTTTTAGCCACAGCCATTAGAGAAGAAAATAAATCAAATGCATACAAATGGGAATGTAGGAAATCAGATTATCTTTGTTTGCAGATGATGTGATCCTGATTGTTGGGAACCACAGGACTCCCAAGAGATTATGAAACTCATAGAAGAATTTGGCAAAGTTGCAGGATAGAAAACCTTTTTTTGTTTCTACTCCTTTTTTAAAGATGTAATTTTTTTATTTGAAAGGCAAAGTTACAGGGAAAGAGGGAGAGGCAGAAAGATCTTTTATCTGCTGGTTCACTCCTCAAAGAGCTGCAGTGGCAGGGGACGCTGGGCCAGGTCGAAGCCATTAACCAGGAACTTCATCTGGGACTTCCACCTGGGTGGCAGGGGTCTAAGCACCTGAGCCGTCTTCCGCTGCCTCCCAGGCGCGTTAGCAGGGAGCTGGTTCAGAAGTGGAACAGCCAGGACTTGAACCAGGGCTCGTATGGGGTGCCAGTATATGGGGTGGCAGCTTAACCTACTGCAGCACAGTACCAGCCACTTGTTTATACTCTTGTGCTATAAATAGCCATGCTACAAATGATAAGCATGTAGTTGTAAGTGTAAGTGCTTTTTTGTGTAATAGAATATATACATAAATAAGACAGATTCTAACTTTTGAATTTCTTGGATAAGTACAATAATTCCATGTTTTAAAAATTGTACATTGTCTGTTGTGTTCCTTAATAGTGTTGTAATTTGTAGTCTCACAAGGACTACAAGAATATATATTTTCTTTTTACCTTGATATCAGACTATTTGTCATGGGGAATTTTTGTCAATCTGTCAGGAAAGAAATGGCATTTGGGGTGATTTTAAATGTACATAATCTTATTATGAGTGGTGTTAAGAATAAGAACCTCTTTCCTATGAACTTTCTTTTCATAACTTTAGGCATGCTGGTCTTTCTCCGTATCTTGCTTCTTCATTCTAATGTTTGAAGTTAGATGTTTTAACATTTTCTTGTTTAAGTTCATTTATTTATTTGAAAATCACAGTGACAAGGGGGGAGACAAAAAGGAAAAGAGAGAATGATTCCCCTGCTGGTTAACCACCTAAATGGTGGCAATAGCCAGGCCTGGGCCAAGCCAAAGCCAGGAGTCAGGAACTCCATTTGGCTCTCCCAGATGGGTGTCAGACACCCAAGCATTAGGATCATCGACTACTGCCTCGCAGGAGTGTAGCGGGAGGCTAGCTGGGAAGTAGTGACAGGACTTGTAATACGTTTTTAGCATTTGCCATACTTTCTTCATTTGTAAACATTATGTGTAGACACATACACTGAGAGAAGAGATAGATTTTTTTTTTTTGACAGGCAGAGTGGACAGTGAGAGAGAGACAGAGAAAGGTCTTCCTTTTGCCGTTGGTAATTCACACAATATGAGACTCATGAAAAAGACCATAAAATGAGGACAGATTAGCATATTGTCATGTAAGGAGTATAAATCATTAAGGATGAAATATAAAAATCTACATATGTATCAAGTATATGGAATCTACATGTTATCTACCTACCCAACATCTATTTACATGCATGCCTACTTCCACATATGAGAGAAAGCATGGTGCTTGTACTTCTCAATATGGTATTTCACTTAACATAATGAAGTTTATTTCCATCCATTTTGCTGCAAATGTCAGGATTTCATTCTTGTAATGACCATGTAATATTCCATCATGAGTATCTATTCCACATTTTCTTTTTTTAGTCATCAGTTGATTGACATGTAGGTTGATTCAATATCATTGCTGTTGTGGATTGGGCTGTAATGTACATTGGAGAACAAATATTTCTTTCATATACCAACTTCATTTTCTTTTAATATAATCAGAAGTGGGATAGCTGTGTCATATGATAAGTCTGTTTTTAGTTTTTTGAGGAATCTCCACACTGTTTTCCATAATGGTTGTACGAATATGCATTCCTGCCAATACCGTATTAGGGTTCTCTTTTCTCCACAACATTGCCAGCATTAGATATTGCCTGTCTTTTTGATAATAACCATTTTAAGTGACCTGAGATGATACCTCACTGTGGTTTTTAATTGTGTTTTTCTGATGGTTAGTGATCCTGAACATTGTTAATGTGTTTGTTGGCCACTTCTCTTAAAAATTGCATATTCAAGAGGCCAACTTTGTGGCACAATGGGTGACACAGCCTTCTGAGATACCCCCTTCCCATATCAAGGTTCCAGTTTAAGTCCTGACTACTCTGTTTCTGATTCATCTCCTGCTAATGTGTCTAGGAAAGCAGAAGAACGTGCTCAAGCACTTGATTTCCTGCTGCCCATCTTGGAGACCTGGATGAAGCTCCAGGCTCCTGACTTCAGCCTGGCCTAGTCTCAGCTCTCTCGCTCTTGCTCTCGTTCTCTCTCTCTCTCTTCTCTCCACCTCCCTCCTTTCCAAATAAACCAATAAATAAATCTGTAAAAGGGGGAAACATCTATTTTGGCCCTTTGCTTATTTCCTAATTGGATTGTTTGTTCTGTTGTTCAATGTCTTTTTTCCCTTCATCTCTCAGAAATCCCCTGCAGTTAGTGCTAGTTCTGATGTGAGACACAGCTCTCTAACTTCCCTCCCTGTCTTCACCACATTATGTGTCGTTAAGGCTTCATCCACAAATCCATTACTCTCTTTCTTTGTTCTTGGGTAACATTTGGAAATTTCATATCTTCTCAAAAATTTCATAACAATGAAAGATTGTTTATTTCAACTTGCTCTTCTCAGATTTTCCAGAAGACAAGGATAACTCAAAAACTTAACCACCATCATATGTATATAGATGTAAGAGATTACATATATATATATGTGTGTGTGTGTGTGTGTGTATCCATATCCCTTCATTTTCTTGTAAATCGTTAATGAAACTACATACCATGCTATATTGTTCTCAGATATCTTAACAATCCAGAAAATAGACAAAAATTAATTTTGATAAAATTTTGAGTACAAATGTTAGTGGGGAAATTTTTCATGTTCACAAAGTTAGGAAATCAAGAGGAATTTACTTATTAAAATTACATTTTACATCCTCGCAAGATATTTATGAATTATTTTCCCCTTATAGTTGAAATATTTAGCAAGAAGTAAATTTGAATTAATTCCATATATGTTAATAGAATGGTTGGAGTCTTAGAAATTTTTCTTTTGCTTCAATGAGCACACGACTGACTCAGAGGTTTAATGCAATAAAACAGAACTAGGACTAGGGAGCTGTGAGGACAGGCCATCTCTACTGTCCTTCTTCAGTTGTTTATCTTCCTTCCATATGAGGAAGCAGTGTTTGATGAGGCCAGGCCTGGAGCTCTTGTGGCAAGCTTTGACTGGGTGACAACTGCGCACAAGTAATGGAGTTGGCTTAAATAAAGGAGCATGGGTTATTTATCTCTGGACACGGACTGAGAAATCAGCATGTGAGTGAGATTCTATTAAAGTGTGTGTGTTTGATGGATAGTTTTGTGGAAAGCTCTTCTATTTGCTAGTATTTTATCAGAGAAATATAAACTCATGTCATCAGCTGAGAGTAAGACTGTAGAAGCAATGAGGTTGAAAATCAAGTTTCTTCTTTCGTGCACTTGTACCTGCAACTGATCCATCAAGATTTTAGAGAGCAGAAGCATGTGTCTTGCAGCCTTCTCCAAAAATGAGGCAGAAGGAGCCTCATACCCTAAACAGTGCTGAAAGCCAGAGGCTCTTTCCTAACCATCAGGGAGCTGGTGAGAGCTCCCACACAGGGGAGTGTGGCTGCACAGCTGTGGACTGCTTGACGCTGGGCGCTCCATCCCCACTGTAGTGCACTTGGACAAGAGTCCTTGGTGGTTGTCTGACGCACCTCAGTGACATTGTGGGCTCTGGCCAGGCCATTCAAGCATTGCCAACTTCCCTTTGGTTATCAGTCTGCTTCCCCTCTCATCTTTGAAATATACCACATTTCAGGTTTTCTATGTTATTTGGAGCATCCAATGCCAGTTTTTGTTTGTTTTTCTAATTTCTTTATCTGAAGGGATGATATAAGAACGATAACATTGAGGATTTAAGGTTTAGCCCTGGATTGACCTCTAGCATTCATTCCCTCTAAGATCTTTGGCAAATCATTTCATAGCCCTGGTTTATTGCCTGTAAAAGAGGGGTACACTGTTTATCTTGCAAAGATATGGTGCAAATGGGAGATGATGTACATAAAGGGTAAAAGCCCAGCATAAAACGGTGCAAAGTCAATTGCGGCTCATAAAAGTCAACAATCATTGAGTGTTTACTGGGTGCCAGAGCTGCACTGAATAATTTGCAGTAAGTAACCTGCTTATTCCTTGCAATACATGGTACTTGTAGCTTCATAATTGTTATTTTACAGAAGCAAGCATGGAGACTCATAGGTAGGGGTGACAACATTGGTTTTCACACTAAGGTCATTTGACTTCAGAGCTCTCAATTGCTACCCACACTTGTAGGTGCTGGTATCCCCTGGACTTCTATCAACCATGCTTCTGTCTGCCTTGACTTCAAATCCCTGCAATCTAGTAGCCAAAGAGAAGATAAGAGAAGGAATATATGGTCATGCTCAGGGGAAATATGACTTTCAGGAATACCTGGATGATTTTATAATACAAGAGATTCAGTGAAATACAGGAAAGCCAATGTATGAAAACTGCAAATTTTATTTTTGATTGTGAATCTGGTACATTTTTAAATTTCAAACCTGAAAAATGAGAGTTGCAAACATAAAAATTGTTCCTTTGTACAGATAATAAAAAAGAATTAGTTTAATGAACAAATGCCAAGAGATATTTCAAGTGTACATCCTAATGTTTGTGGGGTCATTATTAGACTCTGTGTTTTGATGCTTATATACACAGAGATATTTGAAAGCATGGTAACTTTCATGTAAAAAGTGACCAGGAAGTATAAAAATTTCATAAGCTTACACAGAATTTCTGAAGAGTTATTAAATTTTTAAAGCCATTTGCAAGGTAGAGCTAAAAGTTCTAAAACCTGAATCCTCTCAGTATCCCACTGAGGCCAGGAGAACACTAAGCAATGAGTCAGAAGTTTGCAGGAACCACTTTGTGGCAATCGAGAAACACACAGCGTACTTAATTAAATCAAGTAATCTCTATTTAGATGGAAATAAATCATTTTAGTGCTGACTGCTTTTAATGATTCAAGCTGTCATTCAAAAAGAGGACAGGAAGCTGATAAAGTACTTAGAACTCCATTTATAGGGCTTTTATAGCAAACCATTAATAGGATTTTCTTGCCAAAGAAATGCCATATTTTATTAATGAATGACCTGAAACACTCATAATAATTAATAACATGCATAAATAAAATGTGCCAAAAAGGTGGAAAGAAAATTCCAAAGAGATTGATATAGATATACAGATATATATATAAACATTTTTGAAAGTACAAAATGTTTTTAGAATATTTGAAAATTTAGTTATTTAATGCCTATTTAGGTAAACTTCTACACAATAACATTTCACAACCAGAACAGATCTTTATTAAAATTGATGTCGGCAGGCAGGTAGCACTAGCAAGAGGAGCTGTGGTTTTCCAAGCTCTGCTCAGCAGCCCAGCCTGCTACAGCCCTGCCCCATTGTGTGACAGCCCCTGTCCCTGCTGCTTATACACCCTCCTCTTTGCTAGACCACCCCTTCCTGTGTGCCACTCAAAGTCCCATTTCACATGCTGTTCATGCCCCTCCCCCACTGCCATTTAGGGGAAAATTGTAAGAATAGAGACTTTGCAACTTGGAACCAATGCAAGCTGGAAATAGTCAATATAGCTGAAGATTGTGTGTGGTATTATAATGGGTGTGCATTAGCAGGTAGCTAGATTCAGGAGAGAATTGGCCTTGAACCCATACTCTGGGATGGCATTTGACAAAGTGGCATCTTAATTCCTAGGCTAAACATCGGCCCAACTACGATTTTTTCTTCCTGCACCATTAAGAAATCTCAAACTAATTATCTTCATGTGTAATACAATTTTGATGAATACACAGTTTATCCCCTAATGAAGTTGATATACTATTAAGTTTGGTAGAAACTTAATGTTCATATCTTGGCTGAGTGCATTTTTATTTCTCATTTTGGAAACGATAATATCTTCTCCAAGTCTTAAACACTTCTGTAAATAAATATATGGGTTTAGGTGCTGTATTTGTATCTAGTTCATAAATCCTCATGATTTAGACAGCTCTTAAGAGATATGAATGATGGCAAATATGTTTTTCTTCCTCTTAGGCACTTGATGGCTTGCTTATGGGAGATGTTCAGGTTGTGCATATTAAATTAACAAAATATCAGAATCATATGGTCTAAGAGAGAACCCTAGAAGTCAATAGATCTTCCAAAATCCATTACTTCCTTCTTACTTCCACTTAAAAGGAATTGAGGAGAGTGGGCCTGCTGATTAACCTAAGAATCTGCTTAAGAGCAGTGAGAATCAAAGCATTGTCAACACTCGATATCGTTTGTCTTTTTCATTTTTGCCATCCTGTAAGCCGGAGAGTCTATTTTGATTTCAGTTCACTTTTCTCTGTTGAAAAATAGTGTTCAGTAGTTTTTATGTTTTTCGGTCATTTGGATATAATCTTCTGCCTATTTTCCTATTGAGTTGTCTGTCTTTTCTTTGTGACGGAAGATCTGTTTATACACCCTGGACATGGCCAAGTGTATCTCTTGGAAATAGCTTCCCGCAGTTATGGGTTGCCTTTCATTCCTCCTTTGGTGGATTCTGATGGACGAAATTCCCTCAAAGATTTCCTTCCTGGTTGATTCTTGGCTACAGGGTGCCACCCCTGCCCTCCTCAGTTCATGCTTCAGAACCCTGAGCACTAATGAGCAGTTTTTGGAGATGAGACTTCTGGAGGTAATTAGGGATAGAAGAGTTCACGCGTGGGGACTTGGCCTCGTAGAATTGGCAACCTTGTAGGAAGAGTCCCTGGAGAACCAGCTCTGCTGCTGCTTCTCTGGCTGAGCCGCCACAAGAATGAATCAATGTTTAAGGCTGGAACAGAGTCCACACAAGGACCCGACAGTGTGTGCTCTCAGATCTATACAACTGTGAGAAAATAAATTTCAGTTGTTTAAACAACATAGCCCTCATAGCTTTAGCAGCCTGAACTAGCTAATGCAAGCTTCATTAGTTCTGTTTAGAAAATCTTTATTTCAAGATTATAAAGATATTTTACCACAATATTTATTTTTGTTACAGATAAAGTTTCAAGTTAAATATATTAGCATCATGTTTTTGGGTTTTTTTATGCATTCTTTATCAAATTGAGGGAGTTCCTCTCTTTTCCAAGTTTACCAACAGTTTTATCAAGTGCTGTTTCCACGAATATTGACATGATCATTTGCTCTTCTATAGCCTCTTGATGTGCCCAAATATATGAACTGATTTTCTAATCTTGAGCCGACCTTGCATACTTGGGATGAATTCTATTTGGTTGAGGTACTTAGTTTTTAATACATTGTGAAGTTGCATGTTTTGGATTTCTGTTGATGAGACATATTCATCTTTAGTTTTCTTTCCTTGTAATGAGTTTGTCTGGCTTTGGTGGCAGGGTAATTAAAGCCTCATTGAATGAATTTGAAAATGTCTAGTTTGCCCTTGTCTGATGAAATATATCATAAAGAATTCTCATTATTTCTCCTTTAAATATTTGGAAGAATTCATTCCCTCAAAGAACCCATCTGGTAATTTCTGTTTAGAAGGTCAGTAGCCATGGATTCAATGTATTTAATAGATATAGCCTATTCAGATCATTTATTTCTTTTTGTGTGAGTTTTAGCAGATTGTATCCTTCAAAGATATGGTTCATTTTATCCAGGCTGACAAACTTGCAGGCATTGATTTGTTCTCAATTCTCCAGAAACTAGTGATCTCTCTATGCATTTTAAAGAATCATTTTAAGAGATACATAATTCTAGATGGGAAGTTCTACACTTAAAATCTTTAAATATTTTACTCAACTCTCTCTTTGCTTGCCTGGAGACCAAACAGAAGTTTGATGTAATTTTACACTAATCCTCTGTATGCAAGTTATTTTGTTCCACTGATTTATTTTAATATTTTATCTCTGTCTTCGATTTTCTGCAGTTTAAATCTAGGTATTGATTTTTAAAAATAAACCCTATTTGATATTTTCGAAGGGTCCCTTGATAGATAGTTTGCTGTCTGCACCTAGTTTTGGAGAAATATAATTATTAGTTCAAATATTTTATGTTCCTGTTTTCTTCTCCCAGTGTTATTCACATTATGCATAGACTGCCTCTCTTAAAATTGTCTCATATTTTGTGGTTATTGTATTACAGCTATAAAATTATTTTCTATTTGCATTTCAGTTGTGGAACCTTCTATTGACTTCTATCTTTCAAGGTCACTGAGCCTTTACTTGCCTGAATCCAGTCTAATACTAGCTCCTCAAAAGCATTCTTCATTACTATTACAGTATTTTTTTTATTTCTGCCACCTTATTTTGATCTTTTCTTATAGCTTCTTTCCACTTTCATTTCCCATCTGTTTTTGCATGCTATTCACATTTTTCATTAGATTTTTTAGCATAGTAATCATAGCTGTTCAAAATTCCTGGTGTGATCATTTCGCAATCTCTGGGGTAATGAAACTATATAAGATACATATGTATGTATATATCTTATCCTTTCCCCTGAGGTTTTGTGTTCCTCTGGCTGTGAGTTAGGTTGTGTGTAGTTTGCTGTAGCTATGTCATGAGGAACATTCCCTCTGTTGTTCTGATTTCCATCTCCCCTGTTGTGAAAACACTTCTGAGATAAGACCTGAGATATTCAAGACACTCAGCTTCTCCAGGCCCATGGCCCTCAACTCAGGACTAGCTGCCATAGTGTTTTCTGAGAGAGCCCACCATGGGAATCTGATTCTTGTCTGTTTGTCTGTGCTCCATTTTTCAGGCATTGCTTTGACCTCAAATCTCATTTCTTCAGCATTTTGACTTTTTTGTTGTTCAGCTTTTGGTGGCCACATTGATGAGGATGGCGTGATTTCTGACCTTCTTAAATGCCTGACCATAGCAGACACAGTGCTAAACTATTGAAGCAAGTTTTCAAGGAATGTTAAGTCCTGAGTTAATTCATATCTAAAAATACTATAGTGATATCAAAGTTTATAATTAGTGTCACAATAGGTTCCCTTCTAATGACACATTTAGTTATTTAAAGAGGGGGAAGAAATCCGGTTATTTCAAAAGTTATGAGAGTGAATCCCATTTTCTTGATTTCTTTTGTAGCATGCTCAATTACACTTTTTTCATACTAAGTATAAATCAGAATTTTAGTAAGTTTAGGAAAGACAACTATAGAGAAATAATTTGTTTACATTTCACAGTGAAGCCCATAAATGTGTGATTATTCTAACTTTTGCATGCTTTAACATTTGTATCCCTGTGGTATTTGTTTTTTTTTTTTGACAGGCAGAGTGGACAGTGAGAGAGAGAGACAGAGAGAAAGGTCTTCCTTTGCCGTTGGTTCACCCTCCAATGGCCGCCACGGCTGGCGCGCTGCGGCCGGCGCACCGCGCTGATCCGATGGCAGGAGCCAGGAGCCAGGTGCTTTTCCTGGTCTCCCATGGGGTGCAGGGCCCAAGCACCTGGGCCATCCTCCACTGCACTCCCTGCCCACAGCAGAGGGCTGGCCTGGAAGAGGGGCAACCGGGACAGAATCCGGCGCCCCGACCGGGACTAGAACCCGGTGTGCCGGCGCCGCTAGGCGGAGGATTAGCCTAGTGAGCCACGGCGCCGGCCTCCCTGTGGTATTAATAATTAAAATACTCCAGCCATAGACAAGCCATCATACCTATATTTCTATGGCAATGTGATAAAAGTTGGAAGATAAAACTGCCCTCGATTTTAGGTAGAAGTGAGAAATATCTGTATCACTTGACACTGTTTAGGAGACTATCTAATGGATATCTTAAAATTACAAACTCATCTGAAATCACTCAAAGAGTCAAAACTGAGCTATAAATGAAAATACATCTTTAGATATGAGAAGTTAGAAGTGAATGGCATCCATATTTGTTCTCTCAAAATCTCATGCACAAATTTTATTTTACAATGAAAGCAAATTCTGCCAAATCTAAAAGCACTTATTATCACGCAAGTTAACAGGCTCACATGGCATGGGAAGTCCCACTCTCTGACTGCTTCAACTCTCTCTGTACATGAAAAGGTATTTAGGGAGCCTGTAATACTATCCTGGTGTAGCCTCTCTGGTGCAGGGTCAGAGGACAGAGATACCTGTGGAGGAGCGAGCTCCTGGACTTCAGCTTTTATGGAGTCGGGCATACTGGATGTTAACACGTCAGTTATGTACTGGATAATGTTCATAAACTCACTCATCTTTAATATTGATATCTTTCCAGTACATTTCAAATATTACTCCTGATACTTACAGTCTTTTTTCCCTTTTTCTTTTTTGTGCAGTGCTCTGAACATAATAACATGATAAATACCATATTAGAAAGGACTGATTCCTTTCAAAATCTTGATCAATTGTCCTTTTGTGTAGACTAAATTTGAACACACACATCACCATTTAAAATGAAATATTTGATAACTAGTTTCTTCACAGAAAGTATAAAGACTGGAGAATTTGGGATGGGTAAGGATGACAGATGAGGAGAAGCGAGAAGCCACCAAAGAGAAACCAAAATGTGCTGCCTAGGACAAGCCCACAGGTGATGGAATGGTATCTCCTACTGTCAGTACTGCCAGTTAGTCAATACGGCCATCATTCCTGCTGGCATAATGTCCCAGACTGGCCCTAGGAAGCTTATTGTCATTCAATGAGATGTCATCACAAGGCAAGGACATGTCATCAGCTGTCTCAGCTGCCCTCTGGCTGTCTCCGGTGCCCATACAATTTGTCGGACCTCATTTATTCACCTGCCCAGGCAGAACAATGACAACAAAGAGCAACACAAACGTTGGTTCTTATCGTGTCAGATCCTCTTAAGGAAAAGGGAAGATTATAATTTGGGTCTGGGTGAGATCAAGGTTATTTGGAAAATGCTTCACTTGTTTTCTTCCTCAAATGATATTTTCAGATAAGTAAAGTCATTCAAACACTAGCTTTTGCAATGACCTAGCAATGGCACAATGAAGGAAGCATTTTCAAAAAACATCAGGATGCAGAAGCAGATCAATATGAAAGAGGATTACTGGAGACTTCATTGTGTGATATTCAACTGTAAAGGTCTGCTCCCCCACGCAAATGAGGGGCATGTCAGTCACAGAATGATTCTTCGTTCTACAAACAGTTCAGTTTTCAGATGCTACCCAGATGCATGAAAAAAAAAAATACCTATTGGATCGTTGACGTGCATTATTAGCTATCCTATCTGCTATGACTAAACTCTATATCAAGTACATAAATTGAATTAGGTGTTACAATTGTATTACATATTTATTTTCAATCTTGTACCTGTTTGTGTGAATTTGTTTTTAACTTACATTTCTTATTGTTCTGAAGAATTATTAAAGCAATTTACCTTAAAATTATTGTAATTTTACAGAAAATTGCCTACCTTGAGTTCCAAAATTTATTACTTTAAATTAAATATATTTACTATTCAATGTCAACATGATCAAATTTTGATTTAGATATTTCAGGATCTATTGAAAGTGTTATATATTCTTATAAGGATAGTTGTTTTTAATTTTAAAAGTGAAACACAAATGTAATTTTTATATGAAACTGCAAAAGCTTTGAAATTCACAGATAAATACCCAAATATGTGGTCAGGAAGAGGAGAGAAATGAAGAGAAATATAAATATATTCTTTTTTCTTTAAAAAAATTTTTTTTTTACTTGAAGTAGAGAATGTCAGAGAGAGAGACATAGAGGGAGAGAGAGGTCTTTGTTCTGCTGGTTCACTGCTCATATGGCCACCACAACCAGGGATGGGCCAGGATGAAACAAGGAGCCAAGAATTTCAACCTGGTCTACTACATGTGAGGCAGGGACCCAATCAAATGGGCCTTATCCACTGCCTTCCCAGACGGCATCAGGAGAAGCTGGATT